AGTCGCGCTTGCTCCGGAGGGGCTTTTATACCCCTGGAGCCTGGGCGCGCGGGTGGAGGTGGCGAGGGTAGGCGCGGCGTTGCCACCTCCGCGTTGTCATGGTGACCGCGGCTTTGGTATGCGCGGAATGCGAGGAATGCGGCCACTTCCGGCCGCGCCTTCCCGGTTACCCCCGTTACAAGAGTATTGACGAAACGTCAATTTCTTCCGTTAAAAGGGTTCGCAGGATCGCAACTCTATCACGAACAACTACCATAAATAAAAATCGTACGGAAATTATTACCCAGGCTCTTACGGAACTCGTTGCAACTGCGAGATGACCTTACCATTGTGTATCATCAAATGCTTTTAAGAAATTTATGAACATCTTGGAGCCTAACTACAAAGTTCCCAGCAGTCAAACCATCGTCAATCGTCTACGCAGCGTTGAGGCAGAAGGTAAGACGAAAATTGAAGAAAATCTTGCGGCAACGGAGTTTGTGTCTCGACACCGACTGTTCGACATCTAGATGTCAAGATGGCTACATAAATGGTAATGTACATTATATTGATAAAGATTGGAAGCTACAGGTGGTCACCTTATGCACAGAGGAACTGGAGGAGCGACACACAGCGGAGAATCTTGCGGACAGTTTAAACAATATTGCAGCTCAATTCAGTATTGAGAAAAAATATCTTCGGTAATTATTCACTATAGGGGAGTCAGCTCCAATGACCTGGACCTTGATATATGTTGTCAAGGTTACCCTCCTGAGTAACCCTCAGAAGGTTTTAGCCGTCGCTCGTTGTTTGTTAAAAAGTTATTAAAAAAACAATGTGGACCAATCATATGTAATTTTCAGACACAAATATTAAAAATTTAGAAAAATGTTTTAAACAAAAGTTGTAGATCTCTTTAGAACATACATTTTATGTCCTATTTATTTTTACTGTGCGAGTGATAGTTTTCGAGAAAAATGGTGGACGCTAAATCTTACATCTGTCCTCTCATCTAAGCATGTGCTTTGTAGTACATATACGATTCCATATGGATTTGCGACTTTTCACGTGAAGCGAGATCCACTCCACACCTCGGACATAGTTTGGGTTAGGTTAGGTTATATCTTAACAACCCCCTCGTGACGAGCCACCTTGTCGTGGTGAGGGGGCTTGTAGGCGAGCGTCTGTCTGGAAGCCGCTGTGTGCCGTTTTAGGCATCGGCGGTTTCGGTGACGGGCACTCGCTGACTAAGAGTTCGCCTTTCCCCCTATGGGGGAAACGTGGAGCCCGACGACTCCGGTCTCGGCTGCCTCGACGGTTTTGTCGAGGCAGTACCGAGACCACTCGTCGATAGGGGATGAGGCACCCCGAGTTCAAACCTCCGGCCGCCGGGGCCGTAGGGGGGAGCATGCTCCTCCCACCGGACCGGGTAGTCTCCCTCCCGACCCCATTGCACGCCGGTGCTCCGGCAGGGATCGGGGGGAACCCGGAGAGGTGTTTGAGGGGGAGAGTCTTTCGCCTCCTCATCACCATTTTTGGCCCCGATCGCCATTGTACGCCGGTGTTTCGGCAGGCGGTCGGGGTATCAAGAGGTGGAGGACTCCCACTCTCCATTGCACGCCGGTGCTCCGGCAGGAGAATGGGGGTCATGGCTCTCCCGTCACTGGACTGGACGTGGTCCTGTTCCGGTGGCGGGGGAGAGCCCGGCCCCGGCAGCATAACCGAGCGTGGCTCGGGTTGCCGGGTGGACGGGAAGTCGTGGCCTCCCCGCGGTTGGTCCGGATGTGGTCCGTTCCTTCCGGGGGGAGGGGCCGGACCCTGACAACATACTGGGTGTGACCCAGGTTGTCGGGTGGGCCGGAAGATAGACGGGGATCGGGGCCGCTCGGACGTTTCTGAAGCAGGGCCCGATCGCCTGGGGACCGCCGGGGCCGCTGGGACTTGTTCCCAGGCAGGGATCGGAGGTCCGGAGCTTTGGTTGGCAGGTGTCCGCCAGCGAACACCTACTCTTCGGCCGTGAACCGGTCGGTCGCTGCGTCTGGGGTCGGCGTCCTTATGAGGCGCGCGGACTGGCGTGGGGACCGGCTGGGAATGGGTCGAGGGGTGGTTGTGTGCATGGGTGAGTGTGTGGGCCGCGGTCGGCTGTCGGTGGATATTCCTTCGAGACTAACCAAGGGGGGAGTAGTAAACCCCCCGACCGGGGACGGGTGGTGACGTCAGTACCTGACCTCTGCCGTGGACTACGTGGGTGCATAAGTCCAGAAACTTCTGGCAAAAATCACAGGAAGCGGCATGTTCAATGTGGAAGAACCGCTCCCGTCCATCCGTCTGGAGGCTATTGGAGGGTTGAAGCCGGCAGTCCGGACGCGTGTGTGGAGGGGCGGCTAGCCACCGTCGCCTCATACCCTTACTAGGGGGGAGAATCCCGGGTGGACTCTAGCCCGGGGGCAGAGTATGCGGCCGATCGGTACGGTGCGCGCTCTGCTCCTGGGATGAGTATAATCCTCTAGCATCAGAGTGAGCCTGGCCGTCTCCAGGGACATTTTTCGTAGAATCACCGTCTGGAATAGGGGCGGCTCCCTGATAAGCGGCCTCTCCGCTTTCCAGCCCATAAATAGGGCCAATTCTTCCCGGGGATAGATCCCCCACTGCGGTGGGGGTCCCATGATGGGCGAACCGGAGGAACTTTAATACCTGCCATAATGTCTCTCCCAAACATAATATTAAAAAGATTGACGGAGACGGTACAAAGATGGGCAATTCCCGAAGGCAGGACAACGCTCCCCTGCCGGGTAAGGAGACCCAAGAGAGGAAGGATGCCAGTAATGTGGCGAGTACGTCCTTTGGGGCCAACGGACCCCAGACGAGATGTGCTACGAAGAGGAATCCGGGGCCAGCATGCTCCAAAAGAGCCGAACTAATAGTCGATGGATCTGACACCGAGGAGATAGATGTGGAGGGCGTGGAACCTCGTGCCAATGAAGACCCATTCACCCGAGACAGCAGCCCTTCCAGCTCCTCCAGCAGCAGTAGCTGCAGTGGAGGAGATGGGAAGTGGAGGAGTAAGAGGGCCTCAAAAAGAGGAAAAAGCTCGAGCATAAGAGGGAGATCCAAAACCTGAAGGCTGAGAGGAAGGCCCTAAAGGAAATGCTGAACCGGAAAGTCCTCCCAAAGGACATAACGCCCGAAAGGGAGACGGTCCGGCAACTGGAGGTGCTGGACAACACACAAATTGCGGCGGAAATGCTGAATAGCATAATTATCGTCGACAAGGTGGCTGACAGGTCCAAGAATTTAAAAAGGACCTTCGTCAGGGACCTGCATAGGAGCTCGAAGAATTTAAGAGCAGTAGCTAAGGTTATCTCCGCCAAGAGTTCGACGTCGGACAGCCAAATGAGGGCCGAAGAGGTCGAAAACCTGAAGCGAAGGATCAGGAGTCTGGAAGAGCAGGTGAACAAGCTCACTAGACTTCTGAAGGAGAAGGAAGAGGCCTATCAGACAGAGAGGGACCGGAGCACCCACACCGAAATGGCTGAGAGGTGTGCGGAACCGATGGACGAAGTTCCCCCCACCCATCTCCAGCTCGCACAAAAGCCCCCGTAGCCCAGGCCCACGGGCAGGTGAAACGGAGTACAATGGAGCCGCTGCCAGTGTATCGCCCCGAGATACAAGGCAAGAAGAGCGAAATCAGGGAACCTCCGCTCAGTGTAGTAATGGAGGAAGTGAGAAAGGTGATGGAGGGAGTCTCCATCACCAACGTGATAAAGGGGAATCCGCAGGAGGTCAAGGGCAACCTGGCCAACCTCATAACGAGGTGTCAGGGGGTCATGGCGCGGATCCCCGAAGAGGAGAATACTGGGAAAAACGCAGTTAAGAAGGCGCTTCCCACCATCACTAAAATAGAGGTGGTTAAAGGAGAGACGAGGGCTAAGAGGAAGGAGGCCAAAAGGGTGACCTAATTCCCTAAGGCAAATCCACAGTCCAAGGCAGAGGAGGAAAAAGAAACCCCCACGGCAAGCACCTCGTATGCGGAGGTAGCCAAAAGGGGGAAGGGGAAAGCGGCGGCAAAAGGTAGCCTGACGGAAAACAGGGCGCCGACACAGCCCGTGCCGTCTCAAAGCACCCCAAAGGTGCAAAATAAGAAGCCCCAGGACAAAGCTGGGGACAAGGGGAAGCCAAAGAGTGAAAGAGCCCCCAAAGAGGAGAAGAAGGGAAACCCCAAGCAGCGCAGGGAACCTAGATCAGCGGCCGTGGCCCTTGCCTTTGCCGACGGAGAAGCCGGGGAGGGCATGAAGTTTATTAGATCGCAAGTCCGCCTAGAAGACCTGGGGATTGAGACGCTTAGGCCCAGGAAAGCCTTGACCGGGGCCATGCTTTTCGAGATCCCGGGAGGGGAGGAAGCCAAGGCGAAGGCCGACGCCCTGGCAGAGAAAATCAGGTCAGTAGTGGGGCAGAGGAACATAACAGTAACTCGCCCCACGAAGATGGCCGAGCTCAGAGTTAGGGACCTGGATGACTCGGTATCCCAGGCAGTGATGTTAGCTGTGCCGCTTTCTGGCGCATGCGCGTTCAAGTACAGCAGCAGTGCAGTATCAAAACAGGATGTATACAGGTCCTGCAGAAACTCTACTTTGATGCTTCTATAAAAATTATATAAAAATTTTTTAATTGTGAATAAAAAGATATAAAACATGTAAAAAGATGTAAATCATGAGAAACTACGTTAACATTATTATTAACGTTTTCGAGGTTTTAACCTTTAATATTATCTCTATGTTTAGCCGTTCGTGAATGCTTTATCAAATCTATCTTACAACATCTAATGCTGACATTACATGCTATACAAAATGCTTTATTTACTTCGGAATGGAAAGCCAACCATGTATATTACTTTTTCATCATTACTACATTTTCATCCCACACACTTAACCTTCCTGCTATCCCAAATCCCGCCAGAACTGTCAGTGTTCATCTCTGACATCATATATACGTTACTGGATTTCACTGCTATTCCAGTGCGCATGCGCCAGAAAGCGGCACAGCTAACATCACTGATCCCAGGACGAGATCAAAGAAGCGATCTCGAAGGTCGGGAAGTGCCCACCCCAAGAGATAAAGGTGGGACCCATCAGGCCAATGGTTTCGGATCGATTTGGGTCCAATGCCGGCTGGAGGTGGCCAAGAAAGTGGCGGCCGCCACGAAAATCAAGGTGGTATGGGTAGCAGCGAGGGTCGAGCTTCTCGAGGCTCGTCCCCTCGTGTGCTACAAATGTCTAGAACGCGGACATGTGCGTCGGCAGTGCAGGAGCACTGTTGACCGTAGCGCACTCTGTTACAGATGCGGGCAGGAGGGCCACAAGGCGCAGAGTTGCACAGCAGTGCCCAAATGTGCGGTGTGCAGCGCCAAAGGCCTTCCTGCCAACCACAAGGTAGGTGGTAAAGTGTGCCGCCCCCCCCCCTCCAAAAGGGAGAGGAAGGCGGCTGCGAAAACCGGGGAGTGAATCGGCCCAGCAACGGGCCAACAAAGGAGACCCCCAAGGAGGTGGCCACGGGGATAGCGGGTCCGCTCGGGGACCACAGTGAACCCATGGAGGTGGACATGGCTCCACCCACCCAAGGTGCTAAGAAGATAGCGCCTCAAGGAGGAAGCAGCCAGGAGGAGGCTGGCAATGCGGCGCCTTCACGGCGCTAAAGGTGCTACAGGCGAACCTCAACCACGCCCGCCAGGCCCAGGACATGTTCCTGCACAGCCTGGCGGAGCGTGGTTGCGGGTTGGGTATCGTAGCCGAGCCGTATCGAATTCCCAAAAACTCGTGCTGGGCGGGGAGTGAGGACGGCTCGGCTGCGATCGTATGGAGGAAAATGGGGGAATGGAGTACCCCGGTAGCTAAGCTTAAGGGGGGTGAGGGCTGGGTCGCCGTAGAGTGGGGGCCCCTGGTTGTAGTAGGCGTCTACTTGAGACCCAGCCTCTCCAGAGCCGAGCTGGAGGTCAGACTCCAAGAGCTGGAGGAGGTGGTGCAGGAGTTCCTCCCTGGACCGGTCCTTGTCGCCGGGGACTTCAACGCCAAGTCGGCGATGTGGGGTTCTCGGCGGCCGGACTGTAGGGGAGCAGACGTGGAGGACTGGGCCACGCGCCTAGGCCTCCACTTAGAAAACACGGGGGCAGTAAGCACCTGTGTGCGGCCGCAGGGGGAGTCAATAGTCGATCTGACTTGGACCTCCCCTGCGGCCGCCAGAATAGTGACCTCGTGGGAGGTGATGAAGGAGATGGAGCTTCTCTCGGACCACCTGCCCATAGAGATCAAGCTCGCTCGTGAGGGGAATAGAGGCGGGGTCCAAGACTGCCCACTGCGATGGGCAGTAAAAAAGATGAAGCCAGAAAAACTGGTGGAATCGGTCGTGGCAGCGATGTGGGCACAACCAGACCCGCTGCCGTCCATTGAAAAGGAGGCGAAATGGCTGAGACGGGTAATGACGGCGGCGTGCGACAACGCAATGCCGCGCGCCAAGTTTGCCCCACGCAGGGCGGCCCACTGGTGGTCGGAGCAGATTGCCGAACTGAGGCGATCCTCCGTGGCCGCCAGGAGGGCCGTCCTGAGGGCAAGGAGGAGGATAACTGCCTCTCAGGAAACCCTCGACCAACTGCTGAAGATTTATAAGCGGAAGCGCCAGGACCTGAGAGCGGCAATCAGAAAGGCCAAGGAAAAGGCCTGGGAGGAGCTGCTGCAATCCCTCGACACGGACCCATGGGAGCGCCCCTATAAGCTTGTTATGAACAAGCTCAGCACGGGGGCGCCCCCCGCGGTGGAGACGCTCAAGCCGCAGCTCCTCAACGAGGTGGTGTACGCCCTCTTCCCGAGGAAACCCCAAGGGGGAATACCACCAAGGGAAGAAGAAGACGGGGAGGAACACCAACAACACTGAACTGAAGAGCTGGGGATCTCCGAAGGGGAGATAATCTGGGCTGCCAAGAAACTAAAGGCAGGGAAGGCACCCGGACCCGACGGGATCCCCGGCGCAGCGTGGAGAGTGGCCCTGGGGGAGCTCTCTGGAAGACTGGGGGAACTTTTAACCCTCTGCCTGAAGGAGGGCATCTTCCCGGGGATCTGGAAGGAGTCCAGGTTGGTGCTCCTCCCCAAAGAGGGCAAACCGGCCGACTCACCGGCGGGATATAGGCCGATTTGCCTCTTGGATGAGGCCGGGAAGGTATTTGAAAGAATTATCGCGGCGCGCCTAATAGCGCACGTGGAGCACGCGGGTCCCGGCCTCTCCGAGAGGCAGTTCGGGTTCCGGGAGGGGCGCTCGACGGTGGACGCGATACAATGCGTCCGCGTCCTCTCGGACCGGATGATGGGGGATGGATGGGTGGTGTTGTCGGTAGCGTTAGATATCGCCAACGCCTTTAACTGCATCCCTTACGAGGTGATAAAGATGGCCCTCGGAGTGCTGGAAGTCCCCCAGTATCTCCGCAGGGTCATCAATGGTTACCTGGATGATAGACACATAATGTGTCTGGACAGGGACGAGGAAGCCCGTACTTGGAGAGCGGAGCGTGGGGTCCCGCAGGGGTCGGTCCTAGGACCACTCCTGTGGGACATAGCGTACGACGAAGTCCTACGGACTGCACTTCCCACCGGCAGCACCCTTGTGTGCTACGCAGATGACACACTGGTGCTAGCCGTTGGGGAGAATTGGAGGGAAGCGACCGAAGTCGCTAATGTCGCGGTGGCGTCTGCAGTGCGCGCGATAACCGCGTTGGGTCTACGGGTGGCTGCCAAGAAAACGGAGGCCGTTTTCTTTCACAACGGCTCCGGTGGCAAGCCACCCGAGGTCCACATAGTGGTGGACGGTGAGCATATTAAGGTGGAGGCCCATCAAATATCTGGGCCTCCACATCGACGGAAAGTGGAGCTTCGAGGAGCACTTCTCGAGGCTGGCGTCCAGGTTGGGCGGCGCAGGTAACGCGCTGTCGCGCTTAATGCCCAACTTGGGCGGGCCGTGTGGGAGGACCGGACGATTATATGCCAACGTCATGTCATCCATAGCTTTGTACCGTGCCCCCGTGTGGGCAGAAGCCCTCCGCAAGAGCAGAAAGGCCACGGCCGTTCTGCGAAGGGCACAACGAAGGATGGCCATACGGGCCATAAGGGGGTACCGTACGGTCTCCCACGCGGCAGCCACGCTGTTGGCTGGGGCGCCGCCCCTGGAGTTGGTGGCGGCCGCGTAAGCAGAGTCGTACCGACGCACCAGGGAGATGAGGGAGCAGGGCGTCCCGGTCACGGCAAAAATCAGGAGGCTCCTTGGACTCCAGGTGAAGAGGGCGACGAGGAAGGAATGGCGCACGTGGCTCACGAAGCCAAACATTTCTGGCAAACGCACGGTAGAAGCCATCCTCCCTCATTTAGACGAGTGGATCGAGCGCCCTTGGGCACGGGCGTCTTACCGGACGACGCAGGCACTCACCGGACACGGCTGTTTCGGTGAGTGCCTTCATAGAATAGGGCGCGAAGACAACGCGCAGTGTCACCATTGTGACGAGGAGAGGGACTCGGCGCAGCACACCCTGGAAGTTTGTCCAGCGTGGGCGAACGAGCGTCGAGCCCTCTCCAATATAATAGGTGCGGACCTCTCTCTCCGGGTGGTTGTCAAAACCATTACGGAGAGAGAGGCAGCTTGGGAGGCGTTCTCCTCCTTCTGCGAGCATGTGATGCTGCAGAAGGAGGAGGCAGAGCGGATCCGAAGGGGGGAAGCCGACCCCCCTGCGGAATCGCAACGCGACGGAGCAGGAGGTGTGCCCAGAAGAAGAGGAGCACGCCGACTGCCGGCCCGTTTAAGGGCCTGGTAATAAAGCGGGGGAGGAGCGGCGGACCGTCACGGTTAGCCGTACTGCTTCCCCTGCGTATAAACTAGGATAGCTGGCCAGTACAGGCCGGCAGGCACCACACAAAGGTGCAATGAAGATTGGTCCCAGCTTTGGCATACGGGTGCCGCTTGCGAATAGCCCCGGGGTAGCCCCTGCCTGTCGTAAGAGGCGACTAAAAGGGGAGGTGAAAGAGTGGTCTCTGGGACCACACGGGGGTGGGCACGGGCTGGAGACCCGTGACCCACCCGTCCCCACCAACAACTAGGGGCCGCGGCGAGGGGCCCGGTGGCACCCCCGCCGCGAAGAAGAGGATTATGACCCTTGTCAGGGGCCCGCCCTAGTAAAAAGGACCCAGAAGAGCGCGAAGCCACGCGCGGCGCGGGGTCACCCGGAAGTAATGTGTCACAGTTCCCGGATGGCCCCATCAAGCGCAGAGAAGTCCACCCCCGGTGGTTTTAGTGCGGTAGGCGCCCCCGTTGCACTACTGGCCCCATGGGTTGTCAATTGCCCAGGGGCCAGGGGGGCGAGTCCCACACACCACCCCTCCCTGTCCCAGCAGGTCGAGGGGTGACGGTCCATGAGGATTTCCACCGGGTATAAAAAAAAAGGTTGTATCTTAACAAAGTGGAGCCCTCCCGCAGGGGGGCGGAACACGCTGTCTTCACGCAAACATTTTTCCATCTACATTTGGTGAAGGAGAATGACTTATATGTAGGTAGAAAAATGTATGCGTGGAGATAGTATGTTCCGCCCCCCCTTCGAGGGGGCTTCACCTCGTTAAAAATAACCCTACCCACCCTATGTCAGAGGTGTGGAGTGGATCTCGCTTCACGTGGAAAGCAAACCCATGTGGAATAGTACAACGGTGGAAGTGGATGCTTTGTTGTACTGTTCCACGGGTTTGGGACTTTCCACGTGAAGCGAGATCCGCACCACACCTCGGACATAGTGTGGGTAGGGTTATATTTCAATGAGGCGGAGCCCCCCCCCAAGGGGGGGGGCAGAACATATTGTCTCCATGCATGTACTTCCATGACGTACGACAGATGGAGATGGGAGGAGAGATATGTGGGCTTAAATATATTATGGAGCCCCGGCTGAAGTGCCACAGTACTTCAGATGCCGAAGGCTGGTTTCTCGGCTAAGGCGGAAGTAACAATTCACTTGGTGAATGTAAAAGATATACTTTATTGGAGATCAGGGTACACGACAAGATGGCCGGTCTCGTTCGTGCACGAGACTAGTTAAGACTAACTTATTCTGTCCCGCTCGGACAGCGCCACCAACGACCATGAACTGAGTCGTGGTATAGATGGGCAACTCACTAGTCGCCACACACTCCCCCCCGAGTGCTAACGCTGAAGAGAAATAAAAATATTTGGTATGACACAGTGTCTATCACAAATAATCGGCGCTGCCGAATATTACAAAGAATATTGCAGAAACTTATGATACCGCTGCTTAGAACTAGTGTATACGCAGGATGTATCACAGACAGAATTATACAATAGTACCGCTGCTTAGAACAAGAAAATGTAGACGCAGGATGTACATTGTAAGACGGATTATACAATATTATAGTACCGCTGCTTAGAACAAATATGTAGACGCAGGATGTATAAATAATTGCACTTGGAATAATACAGTACCTGCTTAAAGACTACTTAAAGACTAACGCATACGCAGGATGTACGTATAAACCGAAGCGAATACGCGACCGTGACCAGAATGAAAGTTATTATTATCAGAGGTGGAACAACGGAAAATAAACTTTTACGCATACTGAAATGACTGACTGTACGTCTCCGTGTCGAGACTTGACTAGCGAGCGGATGTACGTACAGTGTTTTTGTCTAGCCTAATTTGTACCTTCTTTTTAGGACCCGTATAAGTTTTTAAGGTACCTGACTGAGCGCTTGACGAAGCGGAAGGCTTGTCCGTAGCGTCGGACGTGGACGGATCGTTAGCGATTGGAATGTCGTCCGGTATAAAGTGAACAGGCTTAAGACGTTCTATCGGTACGGCCGTGGGTCTGTCGTTAATCTCGATAGTGTAGACTTTGTCTGACGTCCTTTTAAGCACTTTGAAGGGGCCCGAATAAGGCCGCTCCAAAGGCTTTTTAACAGCATCCTTACGGAGGAAGACGTGCGAACAGACTGACAACTCCTTGAATTGGAAAACGCGTTTTTTGTAATGGTGTGCCACCGGTACTGGCTTCACTTGTCGCATGTACTGTCTAAAATCGTCTACAAAAATTTGGGGATCCGGCGTAAAATCCTCCTGGAGGAAAAATTCTCCCGGAATCCGCAATACCGTGCCGTAAAGAAATTCGGCCGGAGAGGCTTTTGTGTCCATACGCACATGAGTGCGTAACCCGAGTAAAACTGTAGGGAGGACATCCACCCAGCTCGGCGTGTTATGGCACATAATCGCCGCCTTGAAGGTGCCAACGCTCGACCATGCCGTTAGCGGCAGGGTGGTAAGCCGTAGTGCGAATGCGTTTGCATCCGATCAGTTTGAGAAGGGCTGAGAAGAGCTGCGCTTCAAACTGTTGACCTTGATCGGTCGTGAGAATACGAGGTGCACCGAAACGAGCGACCCAATTATCGTAAAATGCCTTGGCTACTGTTTTGGCAGTAATGTTCAAGATTGGAATCGCTTCTGGCCAGCGGGAGAACCGATCTATAATTGTTAAACAATACGTAAAGCCGTTGCTAGTATACAAGGGACCAACTATGTCCATATGGACGTGATCAAAACGCCCGTCAGGAGCCGAAAATTGAGCAGACTCAAGTTTGACATGGCGAGAGGTCTTGCACTGCTGGCAATCTGTACAATTACCCGCCCAAGTCGCGACATCGCGATGCAGGTTAGGCCAGATGTAACATTGTCTAATGACGCGGTCCGTTACTTTTGCGTTTGGATGCGCGGGGTTGTGAAAAAGGTCGAAGACCTGCCTTCTAAGCGATGCTGGAATGTTGGGTCTGATCGATTCACCTGACAATTCGCAGTATAGCTCTGTGTTGGAAGAACCCCAAACGAATTTTTTTAATTTAAGCGA